GGTATAAGGCTTCGAGTCGACAAGGGCTTAGGGAGGGTTTGAGGTGTAGGTTCGTTAGGGTTGACAGTTTATGTTCGGGTTCAGGCTTAGAGCCTGCATTGAGGCGGGGTTTAGCGTTGTGTGTCGGGGTTGAAGTTTAGGTTATGGCTAATAAAATCAGGAGCAGGCGCTACTGCGCTACGTCATAGGATTTATGCCTTGCGTAGGGCTTGCGTACGATGCTGGCCGGCCCTCCAGCTTGCAGCTCCAACGGCGCCCACCCTTCTCCGAACACGCCAGCCTCACCCCCCCTACCAGACCATACGATTGGAGGGGGGGGGGGGGGGTGGGGCTGGGATGACCATATATGGATTCTGTTGGGTTTTGTATTGGATTTAGACTAGAGTTACATATGGGTTTAATAGGGCTATACGGCTATACGATAAAAAGTTTTATAAGACTTCATAAGGGTGTTATCAACTGATATAATGTAAGGCTGTAAGGTTTCATCAGGGCCGCTTGCTGCGTCCAACACGGATGCTTGGGAGTTTTGGCAGCTGCATACTTGAGTGTACTTACTGCGGAATACGAGTAAGGAAGGCCACTGCATCCTATGATGATCCCGTTGAAAAGTTGAGTATGCACAACCTCAACCCGAAATGCGTCGATTGTGGTTGGGGTTCGTAGGTTCTCCTGCTCCTGCTGTTGCTGAAACTGCTACTGCTACCACTACGACTGCCAAACCCAGTGCTACTCGAGTGACACTGCCACGGACGACCAAATCTAAAAACCCCTAAAACTTACGTTTGGTTAGTAGGGAATGGAGGAATGGGGTACAATTATCACGACTATTACTACCATTCTTCCATTCCCTACTAACCAAAGGTAAGAAAACGATTGAGGGCATCCCTAAAGCCTAAACCCTACATTCCCTAAACCTTGTCGGGTTCCAGCTCACTGGGGTTTAAAAGTTTACATAGGCCCGAAGCTCTGAAACTCCAACCTTGAGAACCCTCCACCATCCCATGTCGCTGAGATCAGCACTGCATGGCCTCTACCTGGGCTCTTGGGTTCTTCGGGCGGGCAAATCTGAATCCGAACCACAACAGACCAACAATGCCTTTACGACGATATGCCCGAAAACTCTGCACCAAACAAGTTAAAACGTGCCTCTGTTGTTTTTGCAGTCTTAGATGTGGGATGGAGGCATCCCGAACCCTAAATCGCTAAACCCTAATCCCCATAACCTAGCGTGCTGATTTGGCTCCGAGCCGTCAGGTGAGCCTTAAGAACTTCCAATTCTGAACCTGTCATGGCCTGGTTCCAACCCGTATCCTACCCTAGGCCCTAAACCCTATACCCTGAACTCCAAGCCCTCTGCTGACCCTCCATCTAAATCATGGGAATGGGCATTGCAGAACCACATTTGGCGTGCTGCCGCCTGATCCTGATATCTAGGACAGGCATGGGTTCTGAACTATACACTATTCACCCGTGGCCCTGAACTAATAAGGCCCTAAACCCGAAGGGGTCCTCTAGGGTTTTTCACGAACTCAATAGGGTTTTGGAAGGTTGAGCAAGGCTTCATAAAGCCTGGAGAAGGGGGTTTGTAAGTGTAATGTGAAATGGGTTAGAGGCCTCTGCAGTCTACCTATGGGTCCAATAACCTGTGTAAAACTTTCAAGCTACACTTGCAACGTCTAAAGAACTAACCTCTAGATCCCATAACTGTGATGTCACACCTCGACACCCTATACCGCCCATAATACCCGTAGGGGGTTATCACCGCGTATGAACTGTAATTTGTCCAAGGGTAAAAAGAGGGACCCTAATAAGGACCCTAGGTATATACCCTCAATATAGCTATTATATAACCATTATAGGGTAGGGGTCACCATTAAGGGTCCCTCCTTTTCCCCGTTGATATAGGGGTTGAACTACAAGGCCGGCCCTTTGCAGGGCTCAAGGTGTCGGGATGGATTATCAGCCGAGCCGCGTTGAATCTGCGGAGTTGGCGAAGGAGGTGAAAAGGTCAAGCCCTACGCCTCTGCTCTGTACAGAGTGTAAGTCAGAGCAGCTGACGGCAACAGCACAGGCATATCCAAACCGATCTCCGGGAGTCGACGCTGAACCCCTAAACCTTAGAAGCTGCCCCCACCCTGTAATAGTGACTATAAGGATTATATTAGGGCCCTATTATATTCCTAGTATACCACTATTACAGGGGCCCCTTCTAACCTAACCCACTAACCCCTAAACCCGGCCAGCCAAGCGATGCATGTAATGCAGAAACATGATAGGGCATCCTTTTGCTCTGGTTGGGTTTCTTATGGGTATTTTGGGATGTCAGCACCATGTGGGTACCCGAAATAATAGGTGCCGTAGTATAGTAGGGACCCAAAACGGGACCATAATTTTGATAGCCCCCATGTGTTTCTTCACCAGCTTCCTGCATTACCTGAAGAAATTGCCAGGCCCTGGATTAGTCAAATTACGCTACACTGTAGAAGAATCCCAACTATCCCCAATATTGTGTATGGTTTATTCCTTTATCGGTACCAGCTTTGGGATATTGGAGATGTACTATAGGGGCCTTAACAAATAGAATAGGGTTTTGGGGCGCATTATACCAAAATTCTAGTAAGGAACCCCAAATAATCTTGGTAATTCTTTAGGCCCCTATATTAACCCGAAATTAAATGCAAGTTGGGCTCTCCGAATCTATGCATGTGACAATGTGGGAGTTTCCGAAAATAGGGGTACCATATTTTGTAGTCCTTATAGCCAGGATCCTACTATTTAGGGTACCATATTGGGGTCCCCTATTTTCGGAAACTCACTAAACCCTTATAGAGCCCTTTAAAGGAACCCTTATATCTAAGTACCCTTATAGTAACCCTTTTTGGGTACCCTTTTTGGAAGTCCCCTCTTTTCGAAAACTCCCATGTGCCTCTGTGCGCCGACTCAGTGGCTCCCCCGCGTCAAAAAGCACAAAACACGCTGAGAGTTTACAGTTCTGGGGGTTTGGGGTTCGGGTTTTAAACCCTAAACCCTGAAAACTAAACCCTACACCCTAAAAACTAAAGCCTAAACCCTAAAGACTAAACCCTAAAAACTAAACCCTAAACCCTAATTTAGGGTAGTTATGGGGGGGGGTTAAGGCGGGTGCTCTCATGTAACTGCTAGAAAGAGGAGTCATGAAGTCAGAGGGGATCTATTATCAAAGGGGAAAAGGACGGACTTTTAATGAGGACCCCTACCCCATAATGGGCTATATAATGGGTATATGATAGCTATATTAAGGGTATATACCTAGGGGTCCTCATTAAGGGTCCCTCCTTTTCCCCTTTGATAGTAAGCAGGCCACCAGTCGACTTGCAACTCACCTGCTCGGGGGTATCCTACTTGGAGGTTCATTGGGGGGTATAAGGATTCCTTTAAGGGGCCCTTTAAAGGGGTCTATAGGGATTCTTTAAGGGGTATAGGGTTTAGGGCCTATTTCGGATATAAGCAGGGTAACGATGGTTATAATCCATACTAGGGGGCGTATAACCCGACTCATAGCTACCCTTGAACCTCCAAGTAAAGTGATTAGAACCCACCTACCAAGTCCCATGATCCTTGACCCTCAGTAGGACAACCCCAAGGAGGGTACTTCTAATAATAAACCTACCTATACTCTGCTTACCAAGATCCATTGAAATGCCATGTCACTTTTTGCACCTGTTGGGGCCTTGCACTTTGAACAGCCAGAAACGAAAAATGCAAGGCCGATCACTTGTATTAGACGGTAGTTCAATCACTGCTTGAAGCTGCTGAACTTCAAACTCATGTCCAAACTCCTTTGGGGTTCATTTGGTCCCAGAGGCAGGCGAAAGGAAGGTCGCCCTGCATCAAATCAGCAGGTCCTGGCCGTCGAACGAGGCGCCAGACCTGGAAGATGTAGAGTTTCTGGTTCCTTGAAGGGGTCTTTACGGGAACTGTACAGGTATCGCCACGGATCTGTAAGAACACTATGAGGGATAAGGGATCTAGTCGGGTACTTTAAGATGCCACAAGGGCTTGGAGGTCTAGGGTATGACGGCCCAAAACGTACAAGGTTACGCCTCAACCAGATTCCTGTATTGTACCTATAGTCTCCATTGTAGTTCCTTTTTTTTTTTTTGAAAATCTGTATTATAGGTTCCTAACCATAAAACTGGTTAACCAGAAAAAAGAACTACAATTGAGACTATAGGTAACTGTCGGACCGAAGATGGGTGAGCCCTACAAGAAGCCTTACCAAAACATGATCAGCACACCCTACAATTACAAGGAAGTCTTAACAAATAACGAAGAAAATCAGAAACCCAGAGGGGGGGGGGTTCTCCGGGCCCCCAAACCCTTTTTTGAAGCTATCGCAATAGGAATGCAAACTGCGAAACTTAGTATACAAAGAAATTGGCATACATATATATACATATGTATATATGTATATATATATATATATATATATACGTATATATACATATATATATATATATATATATATATATATATATATATAATTATATATCTATATACACACACATATCTATACACATATCTATATATATATATATATGCCCGAAAATAGGTTGACGAAATAACCCAGCTCAAGGTAGACAGGCCAAGCTGTGTGAGTTCAGGACTTCTCAGGTAGCAAGCCCTATAAATCCTAAACGCACAACTGGCGTCATGCGAGTTGAATTCCTAACTCGGGAGTCCATCGTAAATACTTAACGCCTTAAGACCTGATACCCTGCATGCACGCAGTGCCTTTTTGATACCCACATCGATTGAAGCTCGTAGAGAAGCCAAGACTAATCTATTGAATAGTTGCATCGAGTTCAAAGAGCAAGACATTCGAAGTCGCTCATCAAGGGTTTGAGGGAAACCCCCCGCCCCCTCTAGGACTGTTGATAGAACCAAACACCCAAGGATCAATCTGAAATTTGCAAATCGAAGACGCACCGAGCTTCATCTTTGGGAAGCTGACATGATTATCTGACGCGCCGTTGCAGCCGGACGTTTCGGCTCTGCCAGAAAGCATGGTCAGGTGGCGGGTACGCCTCCGAGAGGAATGAAGCGTTGCTTGTGTATCCACACTTCGAGCCCAAGGGCCAGGGATGACCAAGCTCCATGCCGACGTACTCGTATCCTTGACATGCTGTTTGTAAATCGCACTGGAGTTTAGAGTTTAGGGTTTAGGGTTTAGGGGTTTATAGGGTTTAGGGCCTATCTTTCTTGGCACTTAATCGCACCGCCCGTATGAAAATCAGTGCACATCAGAGACCAAGGGCACCTAATAGAGAGGCGCTGGATAAAAATAATAGAGTATACGGGAGTTTCCGAAGATGGGGGACCCTAGTATAGTACTCTAAATAGTAGGCTCCTTATTAAAAGGGCCCCAAAATAAGGTGCCCCCCCCCCCCCTAATTTTCGGAAACTCCCATACTAACGGAGCGAGGCATCCTTCGTGTTCGTGGAGTTGAAGCATCTGCGCGGTGGGGCAGCAGAAGCCGTTCTCCATGACACCGAGGTCCATTATAGTTATGGGGTGGCGCGTCCATGTCACCAGTGGTACGAAGGTATATTGCGCGGGATGGTGCCGCACATTGTATGACAGATATGTGGTAATCTCTCCAAATCCTACATGCGGATTTGTCTGGTCAATGCACTCGACGATCCGCTTAAGCCATGGTTGAGGCTGACCCTCTGCAATGTCCCGGATATGCCCGCCAAAACGGGTCAGCAGCTCTGTTATGTAGGGCCGGTAACTCATCCAGGAGTGCGACGTGTATGAACTGTTATCTGGAGGGTCCTCGATGTTCTCACCATTGAGAAGACACCTGTGCGCCTTCTCGTACTGGTGTGCATCCCCTCCTCCCGGCCGGAGGTTGATGGTCGGTCGGATGCCATCAGGTCCTGCGAAAGTGCTGAGGGGTACCTTATTTTGGGGTCCTTATAAGAAGTATCCTACTATTTAGGGTACTGCCATCAGGTCCTGTGAAAGTGCTGAGGCCAAACACTTGAAAATTTGACAGGATCATTTGGTCGGCATCGTGGAGGAGAACAAAATCCAGCACATCGTCACGCATGCCGAAGCCCAAATTCAGAAATTGCATAAGATACCAGCCAGTGCTTCGGCGGCCCGCAAGCATCTGGCACACAAAGGCGGTCAGATTGGATCATAACTGTATATATATATATATATATATATGTGTGTGTGTATGTTTTACCATCTGCATATATATATATATACATACATACAATCCCGTCTGTGTGTACGTGCAGAAATATATATATATATATATATATATATATATATATATATATATATACTTACACACATATATACATACACACATACATACATACATACATACAAACATACATACATACATGCCTCGTTTAGCTAAGTCGTGTATGAAACACACAGACCTACGCACGCACAGACACACACACACACACACACACACACACACACACACCTACCTTCTTATGGGACAATTCCCAAATTCACAGGCCAGTCCCGGTTCAAGTACAGAGAGGAAAGTTCGGAGGACTGCATGGGCTAACGGTGTAATGGGCTTTACGATCATGAGGAATTGTGGGTTTGCTAGGGTGGGTGCAGGGATAAGGCGCCTCCTGACCATCGTAGCCCTGCTTGTTCAGCTCCTTACCGATGATGTCGTAGGAGACGCCAGGTACAGCCTTGGCGTCGTCCACTCCGATGACATCTTCGTGCAAATTGCTCATACTCTCGACCCATGGACCGGGAACCTTGGCTTCAAGGTTTAGGGTTTAGGGTTTAGGGTCTCCTTTTTGAAGTTTCGGCTTCAGGGTCTGAGGTTTGGGGCTTAGGGTGTCAGGTTTAGGGCTGGGGGTTCGGGGACACTCTCGATGCACGGACCAGGAACCTTGGTTCCACAACCCATCAACCCTGAACACTGATACCATGCACCGGGAGCCCAGGTATATACATCTGTGTTTGTGTGTATGTGTATATATATATATACTTTGCGAATTGTGTGCATATGAGGGATCTAGGATCTTATAGGTATAATCTTAAATCATACGGCTAACCCTTTTCGCACCATCAATCAAGTCTTGAAGGAAACATTAACAAAACAAAACGGGTACTGCGTGGGAGCCTCGCAACAGACACATAGATCCTCCGGAGGCCCTGAGGCTTCAAGTGCTTTAGAGCTCCCATGATGGTCTGGTAGTTCACACAAGTTGGTGTTCTCATGACTGTCATCATGTCGAAGAGTGGACCATCACGCTGCTCAGGGCGACGATGGTCATGGAGATACGCCGTCCGCCGTCGTCTCTCTACTTCGGCTTTAACTTTAAGGTTGTTTAAGGGTGTGGTGTACACGTAGCCTTGATATGCAGCCAGTAGGATGAACGCCAAAAAGGCGACCACACCTAGAGCGATTCGACCAAACTTCATTGCTCGACGTGGGCAGGACGATTGGCTTCGTGTCACCCGGACCCTAAACGTGCAGACTCTAGCTTCTAATATAGGGGCCTTAATCATTAGAATGGGGTTTTGGGGCCCATCATACTATCGATATCATAATAAGGAACCCCCTCAACAGTATAGGGATATGATTTAGGCCCTAATATTACGAGCCTTGATCGCATGCCGGTCCCACAGTGATTAGCGGAGTCGGTAAAAAGTCACTCTGCTCGCATGCCTTGTGCGTGCCAGCCTTCCTGATATAAAGTCTGTAAAGTGGTCCGATCATTGCTGAGATTTGTCAGACACTATTAAGGACGATAACTCTGCATAAAGCCCTAGCTAACATGTGGCTTACGATTTTATCTACTGTAACCACGAAGCACTGCATGAGCCTGTGCTACATCCTGTTCTTCTGCATGCGTCGGATTACCAGAGGCGCTGATATCGGCGTGGCGAGTTGAGGCTGAACCACAATGACACATAGGCACCCTTAGAGGGGCGGGAGGGGGGCAGGGGGCCCTAATAGCTATAATGACGACTTCAAAGGGGGTAAAGAAGCCTATTTAAAGAAGTATAGTACATGTACCCTGCCCCCTAAGGGTCCCCATGAACAGCCCTAAACCCTAAACCCCACCCTTTTAAGGGTCCCTTTGAAGAGCCCTAAACCTCCACAGGTGGGCTGAACATGGCTGACTCCGAAAACCCTTTGTCCACTACCAAGCAGAAAAGCCTCAACCCTAACCACAGCCGCCCAACAGCTCTGTAATTCCGGAATATGTAGCATATCTTGAACCATATATATATATATATATATATATATATATATATAAGGACTTCCCTAAAGTTCAAGGATGTTTTCATGTTCCTTTAAACTGTAGGCAATCGGACACCCTGAGCGCTACCCCTAAACCATAAACCTCATGCCTGGGTTCAGGGTCTAGGGTTAAGGATTTAAGATTTACCTTGACCTACTAGAATCTACTTGTTGTAGGGTTCTACTTTTTGTTAGGGTTCCTATAAACCCCATATTAGAGTCTATTATTAGAACCTACAAAAAGTAGGGTTTAGTGGGTCTAGGTAGGGTTTAGTAAGGACGGCTTCCCTAACTGTAACTGAGGCCCTAGCCGGACTCGGCCGTCGGGTCGCGCATGGTCTCCATCACAGGAAGAGGTCCTGGAAGCAGCCGTCTATGTTATGGCCTCACAGTTGGAGCAGGGTTGGGGGCTTTAACAAAGTGGTCCAGACAGGGATACTCCTACTCATCATGTCTTCGATCTCGGCATTCTTAGAGTGTTGCCTCTTCTATCTTAAGCTTTAGGAATCATCTTCTCTGCTCCACGACGAAGCCTTCGGTGTTGATGGTTTAGGTTTAGGGTTCGGCGTTCAAGCTTCGGGATTTCTGCGAGCCCTAAACCCTAAACTCTAAACCCCCCACCACATCAAAAAAAGACATCCTGGATACCAAATACGGGGCCCTCATCTTCAAGAAATAAGGAGCCCAAAAAGTGGCATTGGTAACCAGTTAGGCTCCCATGTTAGGGGCTTCGAGTCTAGGAGTCACCTGAAAAACTGGGAGCTTGAGCAGAGGAGGCCTCAAACCCCAACCCCCCCCCCCCCCCCAAACACGCAAGAACTTTCTAGTAACCCCCAGACCTGAAACGACATTGAGGCTTGGGTCCTTGAGGTTTGGTTTTAGGACTGCAGCATGTTGAGGGGCGTTCGGCCAGGATTTAGGACATATGTTGAGGTTGGTGACTGAGACTCGAAGATGTGTCTTCTTCCTGATGCTTATCTGACCCCGCCGCTTCGAATTGCAAAGCTCCCTCCCGATTTCCACAATCCGCTATAGGTGTAGAGACTCGATATAACGGCATTATAAAATGCTGCCAAACACCTACTGTAAGTACTCAGGCCGTAATTTAGAATCTTATGTACCGCTGACATACGACTTCCAAGGCCTGCTTTGGCTCCAGGTTCTTCACTGACCCCGGCGTGTATGAAATCGCGATGAAAGTCATCGTTCCCCTCGGCTAGCTGACGCAAACATGAGCTATCACATAATTGGAGGCACGATCGAGAATTGCCCCTAAACCCTGAGCCCCTAAACCCCTAAACCCTAAACCTCTAAACCCCTAACCCCTATAAACCCTAAATCCTAAACCCCTAAACCCCAAACCAAACCCTAAACCTGCGGGGCCACGGTACGGGACAGTCACTTGTTGACCTCATAGACTTCATCGCAGTACTTGTTCAGTATCCCCTGAAGACACTTATCAAAATCCTACAAGTAACACTAGATTCAAGCTCCTTGACCAGGATCTCATTGCCGAGTTACCTGGCCCTTAAGAGGTCAACCTTGATCATGGTAGTTTCATACCTTAAACCCTAAACGCCCTAAACCCCTAAAGCCCTAAAGCCCTAAATCCCTAAAACCCTAAACCCTAAACCCCTTAAACCCTAAACCCCTAAAACCCTAAACCCCTAAAACCCTGAACCCTAAACCCATTTCAAGGTAGCGCCCTCAGCTCCTATGCCATAGTTTCAGTAGTGTTCAACTACATATGTTGGTAGTTCTCCAACTTATAATAGCGTCCCTTATCGTGTCCTTCTTGACGGGGTGACGCCTCCTTTTGGGCTCCGAAAGAGGGACCCTGATTGAGAGAACTACCCATATGGTGACAAGGGGATATCGAAGAAAACCTCTCCCCAAAACCCAAAACCCTACCTAGACCCTCCATCTACCCTCCATTAGACCCTAAATGCCCCGTATTTGTGACCATATACCCCTATTTGAGGGTACAAGGAGGGTCCTGGTATGCAGACACCTTCTATCTTGGGCATCGGCCTCGGCCAGCTTTCATTGTCAAAGACCTCCACAAAGCCGACTGATTAAATCCTCGACGCGGCTTCGGGTGTGGATTTAAGGTTTAGGGTTTAGGGTTTAGGGTTTAGGGTTTAGGGTTTCTGGTGCTCCGATATCGGACTTTCCGGAGCACCAGGCTCCTCAAGGGAAACATCTTGACACATGTTGAAGCGTCCATTTACCCGATTTTGGGGTCCTGGCCTCAAGCCTTAGGGTTTAGGGTTTAGGGTTTAGGGTTTAGGGTTAGCCTCAGACCCCACACCAAGCCCAGGCCTTAGCGAAAGCGCAACCTCAAAAGAATGGACCACAAAGCTCTCTCGGCAAGGTGGCGACTGCGACCCCGCAAACCTCGAACCCAGCAACATAGGGCGTTAGGGCGTTAGGGTTTAGGGTTTAGGGTTTAGGGTTTAGGGTTTAGGGTTTAGGGCTTAGGGCGTGAATGCTTCGAATCGGGCTTATAGTGTAGACATGCGCGGACTGTAAAGCCTCTTTTCAAAGTACTCAGACCTCAATACCCAAAGGGTCCTATGTACTGTTATGGGGAAGACTTCCTCAAATCATAATAGTAATTCCTGATCTAGAAACCCTACATTCTACTATGTCGGTACTTTGGACCCTTTGGGATAGCAAGCCTGCTGAAATGCAGAAAACCCAGAAGCCCAAACCCCGGAAGAAGCCCCTCTACAGCCACAAGCCCGGACCGGTCATGCTGAGCCAATTTGTCATGAACCCCACCAGGACCCTCCTTGTACCCTCAAACAGGGGTATATGGTCCCAAACAAGGGGCATTCAGGGTCTAATAGAGTGCAGATGGAGGGTCGAGGCAAGGGACCTATACATGAAGGGGCCTAGGGGTTTATGGTTCCGGTTGTTGGGTTGAGGGGCAATATATAAATCATTTGACTGAAGTTTCCGGTGCAACTTGTAAATTGGCTAAATAAGGACTGTCGAGCATACTGTTGCCGGTAGGACAGACCTCTACCAAAAAACGCAAGACCCAGAACTCCTAAACCTCAGCTATACTGGGGCATCCGTTGAAGTCAAGAAACCCTTAATTACGCATAGAACCCAAAGCCCCAGAGCGGCACGAACCCTACCCTTAAAGGAACTCGTACGACCCACAGAAAAAAACAAGCAAACTTACAGGACACTTGCAAACGTGAAGCTTCCATCCTCAAACGCACCCCCGAGTCTGTCGGAGTTGGCTTCTACTGCCTGTTAATCTAGGAACCCGATTAAGAAACTTTGGACCTTTATTATTGAATTCTTTTTGAATATACGAATCCTACCATTTTGGGTTATGGGCCCAGGGTTGCTTAATCAGGTTCCTACATTATAGGGTTTTATAAGCCTGTCAAAGGGTCTTCCATAATGAAGGCCCCCGAGTTATACAACGCCGCCAATGAAAGTAGCATCGGTATCCTATAGTACGCGGGCCCGTGAAAGGGTGTCATGAACCAAAGGCCTGCAACAACGTCGAGGGCTTCAATGCGTTGGACCAGCTTCAGCATTGCGGAATCAAGTATCAAGGTATGAGGATGGTATGAACGCAGAACCTGCCGAATTGGAGCCCTTATATACTTTGGGTTATGAAGTAACCGGGGAGATACAAGTAAAAGTATGCACCTGTATTTCATACGGGCACCTTTAAAGAACAGGTCCAACAAAAAGAACTAAGGTATTGCACTCCGGAGCCCCTATACTTCTTGCGGCACATCTTGGGTACTGAATCAGACGTCCCACAACTTCTCTGAACTTCTTCGTCCCGCTGGCACCATGGATCCTAAAGAGGCTAGCGGCGCGATGCCTTCAGTCTGAATGCTAGCTACCCAGAGACTCCAATATCCTGTAGTTAAGGAATGTACCGTACATTCCTTCATTAAGGGATATTGGAGTTTCTGGGTACCTCATAAGCATGCAAATCCATTTCCACATGCAAACCACAAACACTCTCTACTCTGAGCCCTACGTCTGCTAAGATTTGAAACCCTAAGCTCCAAATCCTAACCCTATAACCCCTCCCTAAACCTTAAACCCTCAACCTAAACCCTATAAGCCCTAGAATTCCGAAACTGCTGCTGTCCTTGTGCTTAGTCCCCAGGGGACTCCTGCAGCTACAGTACGA